CGCTCCCCCCGGGTGGGATGGGGGAGAGAATCAGAAGAGTAAAAGTGAGAAAACTCGTGGGTTGAGATAAAGACAGTTTAATAGGGAAAGCAAAAGCCGCGCACGCAAGCAAGACAAAACAAGGAATTCATTCACCACTTCCCATGGGCAGGCAGGTGTTCAGCCATCCCCAGGAAAACAGGGCTCCATCACGCGTAACGGTTACTTGGGAAGACAAACGCCATCACTCCGACCGTCCCCCCCTCCTTCTTCTTCGCCCAGCCTTATATGCTGAGCATGACGTCATATGGTATGGAATAGCCCATTGGCCAGCTGGGCCAGCCGTCCCGGCCACACTCCCTCCCAGCCCCCCGCGCACCTGGCAGGGCACGGGAAGATGAAAAGTCCTTGACTAGCGTAAACATTACTTAGCAACAACTAAAACATCAGTGTGTTATCAACACTATTCTCATACTACATCCAAAACACAGCACTATACCAGTTAATAGGAAGAAAATCAACTCCATCCCAGACAAAACCAGGACACGTGAATGTGCCAAAGGTGGCAGGGGAAAAGGGAAAGGAAATTATGCTTAAGTTATGCACGTTTGAATATTGACAGGCAGAAAAGGAGCAATATGAATGGCACGAGTTGTCAGTACAGAAACTACTACTAAAAAAAAAAAACCAACCAAACCACAACTACAGTCATGAGAAAAGCAGTGTTTCTAAGTGAGAGAGGAACAAAATAAAATTGATACAATGGTAAAAAAAAAAGAAGCATATAAACATTTTTCTTCCATTCCTAATGAAGATGATTAAGTTACATACATTAAAATTATTACAAACAGTTAAAAATCCATTTGTTTCACGAATACAGGATAAAAATATTCTGAGATATCAATATAAACTAACTTTTGCATTTTCCTTCCTAGAAGGTTCAAAAATCTACGGTACAGGCTGCTAGAAGAGTCTCTAGTCAAATTTATTGGTAAAACATATTTTGTCAAGGTATAATCATTCTATATACTCCTGTGTTTTGCAGCATCAACACCACAAAAACAACAGCCTTATTAACAGAAATGAATAGAAACAACTGAAACTACTGCCAATTTAGAAATTAACCAGAGTCCTACCACACCGTTTTGGTATGTCTGGCTGATCCCTACTACCAATTTTTCAGTGTCTGCTACATGATATGTGGTGATTTCAAGAAGTCAGAAATGAAAACTCCAGTTACCATGGAATCAGCCTGACCTTGTACAAGTAAGGAAGCCTGCTTCGCATAAAAGTTTTGAAAACTTAGTACAAGTGATTTGAACCCTCTGCTTGCTTATGCCGTCCTTCTAGCTGATGTCTAAAAGGTGCCTCTATTTAACAGGCTCAGCATCTACACTAATAAGGTATGTCAGACACACAAAGAAGTATTTTACACTTTTACATAAAATTCAAACTCCAATCTGGCAGTGATGCTAATCCCACCCTCCCATCGTAAATCTACAGAAAAAACTGAACAGAAAGTATTAACAACTCACAAAAGTACGATTTTTACAATACCACCATTCAGTAAGTACTCATGCCAAACTGTTCACTTTTAGCTTAATCCTTAATCATTTTGGCACATCAAAGATTAATCCTAGTATCTGACAATAATGTAATCCATACAAAAAAGGTCAGAAGTTAAAGTCTTGGAGTACTTGGGGAAAAAAAAAAACCACAGATAACCAACAGAACTGGTCTTTTAATTCAGAAAGGCCATTTGATGAGTCAAGTCACCATGCAAACATTACATACTTTCAGTAGAATTAAAATGCCAGATTGCAGGAAGAATGGACAAGACTGGGAAAAATCACGCATTAGCACTTAAAAACAATTGGATTAATCACTTCTCATCTTTACCATTACTGTGTCAATTATATGTTGAAGATACCAACTTCAGAAAGCTTTGATTAGCTGTTTACTTCTGGAAAGACTTCCAAAAGTTGGTTCTTTAGCTCTTCTGCAATATAGTTCATTCAAGAGCAAGGTACATGTAATTTACATAATTTGTGTATCAGTTTTCAACCACAAGAAAAGGTGACAAAAAAAAAAAAAGGTGCTTTATGTTTACTCTTTCACCCAAACACAAGTTAAAAAAAAAAAAAAAAAATCCTGATTTTCAGTCTTACTGTCATAAACATCAAAGGCCTAAATGTTAAGCTTTCAAATCATCCCAGTTAGTCTGTAGTACCCAATTCTATGTGGAGTTCCTTGTGAAATCCCTTTGTGCTCCTCATTAGTTTTGGATGCTGATTACGAAGCATAGGAAAAATGTAATTTTGTAGCCCTAGGACAAATGAGGAAAAATAACCTACATACACTTGGGTAACAAACTTGGCTTCTCCTTCAAGAGGGGGGCACTGAAGACTGAAAGAGCTACCCAGCTCAGATGGTATGTTTGTTCTCACCTGAAAGCAGTCCTCTTTGACAGCTACAGATTAACAACTGTCAGTTTGCTGATTGGTATGCCACTGCTAGAGTTGTTGTGATGGAGACTTTAAAAAAAAAAAATCAGCTGCTGTGTATGGCTTAATTTTCACTCAAATCCATAACGACAATTATTTATGTTCCCAAAGGCTACCTTGAAGTGTTCTAAGTTTTCAGAGCTGTTGCCAAGTGCTGCTGGATCCTGTGATAACACAAATATGCCCACTACCACTCTATTCTGATAAATTACAAATGTATGGGCAACCATCAAGGACATCACTTTCCCAGGTCTGCTGGTAGGGCTTCTGTATGTATACAGAAAAAGAACGTGTGCACCACATTACCCCTCCATGTGCAGGCACCATTCACATGCAAGACCAGTGCAAGCACAGATTTAGAATTACGGTGTTTCTATTCCCTTCCAACCCATGCACTTCTGGTGGAAGCTGCAAAGGACGTAAATAACATCACACAACTTGAAAAAAACGCAAAGGTATGGCCTTAATGTGCTTCAAAACAATGATACTTACAAAACGTATCAGCAAGCACTCTTGAATATTTTTTTTTCTTCAAAGTAATAAAGACAGAAGTCTTCCCCTGACATGGGGCAAGGTTGATTAAGTTGCTTGTACAGCAGCTACCAAATTGCTTACAGACAGCGTGGCTTTTAAGAAAACCAGAAAAAACTCAAGCCCTGTTTAGTTTAATATGCCATAAAACATGAGCTGAACCACTGCAATTTATGAGGCTTTAAAAGTCCCATTAGCAGAGATTTTCACTCTAAGAGGAGGGCAGGGACCAGCACAGCCCTCCCCATTCACGGTAAACAAGGAGATGTTTCTGCCCCGTCTGCAGATGCCTGTTCCTACAACATACCACAACAGAGAAGGAACTTAAGTTATTCCAGGTGATTAATGTGAGCTCTCTCAATACATCTACCCAGTTTATGGCCTGAAAGGATGCTAGAAGTCCAAAATAACACTGATACGATCCTCTAACCTGCTATTCAAGTAGCGAGGCTAGTTACAAATAAGGAATAGGGATTAAAACATTGGCAGAATGCATATATAGCTAAGAAAAAAAAATATGTAGAAATAATACATTGCAAAGCTGGAAGATAACATTTCTCCCTTTCTCATCCTTCCTCCTCCCAGGAAGGTGGGAATGAACTCCATGACTGAGTACTTCCTATTTCTGCAATCTCACTTACATCCACAGTACAAAGCAGGCATACTGCAGATACCCAAAGTGGAGCCATGACTACTACCTAATTACTTTAAGCCCTGCATCTGGGTAAGTCAGATGACCAAAATTCATATTATCCTAAGGAAAAATTTCATTTCTTTCACCACCTACAGTACGTTCTATGGCAAAAAACCTCACAGGAACTATGTAATTATGAATTTATTTAAACTATTTGAGGCTGAGATGTTCCACAACTGGTTTTGACCTAAAGAGGATCCTTTAAGTTAGAGAAATATCTCTGGATTCAAACTTGAAGAAGCTTTAATACTGTAATCAACACTTCTAAAAAAAAATTCTAAGGAGATTTACTAAAAGCAGACTGTAATGATAGTGTTCCACCCTGTGCACATCACTATGAAAAGCTGCTTCATTTTCAGGTTTAATGGGAAGACAGTACAATTTCCCTGTAGCCTGGAACTTCTTAGATAATAATTATAGTTATTATCATAGAAGACTAATAGAAAAGCAATGTATTTCTAATGTGCTCTAGTTACTATACAGGCAGCACAAAGGTGTGGGAGCACCATTCTGAATCACCTTCCGACATTTTTTGTTCACTGAACTCTACAAAAAGTTTTCTCCAACGATTGAACTGGATTTTAGAATTAATTTCCTTCATCAGTAGTCATTATTTTTATTTGCTTTTATTGAAAATGTATGTAGCAAAATTTCATTGGCATTTGTACCGAGAACTGGTTTCTAAGACTTAGCTTCATCTAATGAAGATTAAAGACATTACGTGGGAGACCAATATTGTCCAAGATCTCAGAATAAAAAAAAACAAAAAACAAAAAACAAAAAACTTCTGAAAGCTATGCTTTCTTATAATTAACTTTAAGAGAAAGAGGAAAGGATTTGAAAAAATACCTTCTCTAAGAGTTTTTCACCACTGGATTCCCTCCTCAAGTACAATCTCCTACACTCAAGTAAAAACTATTACTTACATTTCAGTAACACCAGATGCTACATCAGCCAAATTGAACATGAAAAGAACCATAAAGAACAGCAAGACAAACCTAGCACCAGGTAAGAACAGAACTGCAAAAAGTTAAGAGTTGCAGAGTAACCACCCGAACTTTCCAAGAGCACAAGACTGAGACAGTAAAACCTTCAACCTAGAGGAAGACATATCAAGTGTTTCTGACTATTTACATAATTTATCTTTGCTGGAAATCAGAAGCTTCTATCAAAAGTTAATACACACACTTGAAATAAAAATTAAGAACACAGTTGGCTATTAATAAAGACACTGAAAAAAAAATCTCCATAATTTATAGAGGACCAGAAAATGCACAGGCAATCCCACTCACCTGTCTTCACTAAAACGTCGACCAACCAAAATTTTACATTTGTCTGGAGGGAGACAAGCTGCTAACAAAGGTACCGTCCTTAACACTCGACTTTCCTGTAAAGAAGAAAAGTTACTTTTGAATAAAACCAAGGAGGGCTTCTATGCATTGTTAATGTTTCCATTTACTTTCAAGTTCTTTTGACTACGGACACAGAAAAAATCTTACCGGATAACAGAAAAAAAAAAGATCTACAAGGAAAAAAAAAAACAATTTTGATGCATTCAAATCGTACTGTTTTGATTGACAGTATTAAACTTAGTCTTAACTAATCTATGATCATCAGCATAAATTTGAACTAGGCTATCAGTATCAAAAACAAGAACAAAACTTCACAGAATAATAAACGGTAGGCAAAAACCAGCATTAGCATTAATGTAATAAGTTGGGGAGCTAATGTCTCTATATTGGAAAATGAGGGGAGGGTTTGATTTCCACAAACAGGTGCTAAAAATAAAAGCACTGGGTGTATCAGATCAGACAGTGTGAAATACAAACATCTAACTAATCTCCACCCTGCTGTCACTTCACAGTAACCAGGACAACAGCACCAACACTGTCATGAGTACGCCGTCTCGTGCCATTCAGGCTGTGTTGACCAGGCACCTGCCTACATCTTTGTGTGACAGAGAAGGTGACTGCCATGCCTGGGTGGGGAGCAGGGACTCTTCAGATCTCAAAGAGCATTAAAGAGAGCTGTGTTGGAGCAGGGCTTCAGAAAGTGGAGGAAGAGGGAAGTACTGCCAGCTGAAGCAAACCATCTGCTTACCAGAGTCCTTTATTTAACACAGCTGAGAACACAGTTTTTGTAGTTTTTGTATAGACAAGAAGTATTGCAAACTGAGCTTGAATACTTAGGATGTCAATTTTTGTTTTCCCATCAAAGAAGAGGGAGCATAGGTTTATCTTGCATTTAATGAAGACAGCAAGCCAACACCGAAAACTGAATGGAAGTTTCAGTTTATTTATTTATCACAAGAGGAACAAAGGAAGGTTGTTAGCTGAATCTAGCAGGAGGCAAGACACTACAGGTCAGGTGAGGATTATGAAAGCCCTAAACCCAGTAAGAAATGAGTTCTTACAATATTCTCAACCTGAATGTCTCATGATTCAGACAATGTAAATCCAAAGACGAGTCCCTAAACCACAGGATTAATTAATGAAAACCCAGGGTGGTTTTGGTCCGACTTTTGATTTATGAGCCGTGTATCAACAATTCAGTGTTTGTGAACATGTAAGGCCTTGATTAGCTCTCTCAGTTCTCTCTGGGAGACCTTCCACAAGTATCAATGTGCAGCTGCCTGTGGTTCTCACATTGTCTTGCTACCAAACTGCCATTAAATTATTTCTGTGAAGACTTTCATCGCTATTGCCTAAAACCTTTTTTAATTTTGCCTTTTCTGATCCATATCTACTGATCCTCCATAAATAAAACATCATGGAGTTGAAGGAATAAGTTGTCCTGCTAGATTCACCACCACTTTGCACAGCAGCAGCAGCATGATGTCTCCTAGGGATAGGTGAAGATCAAAGTACCTGGGGACTGAAGCGCTAGCAAGGGGAGGCAGAAATATCCTTCAAACCACCATTGATTTCTTCTATCTCAGCAAAGCAGAATAAGCCATCAAGTATTATTTGTCTTTATTTCATCATAATTAAATAACACTCCAATTCATTAGTCAGAAGGCTCCCTTCTTCATAAGAATGTAAGAAGTGGCAATAAAGGAACTGGAGGAAAATCAATTATTTGTCTCTGATAAGCAAAACCAAAAGAGCTATCATCAGTCAAGGGAAAGTCATTCAACTGTTCCCCCCAATGTCATATCATTACTTCAGAATTACCTTTCATATCAAATAAATACATTCTCTTACCAACCGGGAAAATGGAATTTTCCAATCTAAAAACCAATCCATGTTTACAGGAAGATAAAACATAAAATTCAAAACTGAACAGAATTGTTTGAGAAGAGAAGCTTAAAAACAGCTAAGTCAAACTAACATTAAAAAAGGTTTCATTTGTCTATAATTTTCTTCATTAAAAAACATTTGTATTTAATTCGACTATATATATATAACCTATTTGTTATCATATCAGCTCTTTCCCATTTCCATTTGAAAGTGAGAAGCTACTATCTCTCCTCTGTTCTTCTCAGTGTTCTAATAGTGATTTGCAACTTTTTGTTTATTCATTATTTGACCACTGAAGTACATAAACAGAAATCGCATTGGAGGACTTATGTGGTGGGTTGACCTCGGTTGGCCTCCAGGTGCCCACCAAGCCACTATATCATTCCCCTTCCTCAGCAGGACAAGGGGGGAGAAAATAACATGAAAATGAACTCATGGGTCAAGCTAAAGGCAGTTTAATAAAGAAAAGCTAAGGCCGAGTGTGGAAACAAAGGAAAACAAAAAGATTTTATTCTCTACTTCCCATCAGCAAGCGATGTCCAGCCACTTGCTGGGAAGTAGGGCCTCAGCACATGTAACGGTTGCTCCGGAAGACAAATGCCTTAATAACAAATGCCACCCCCCTACTGCCCAGCTTTTATTGCATCATATGGTACGGAATATCCCTTTGGTCAGCTTAGGTCAGCTGTTCTGGCTACGTCCCCTCCCAATCTCTTGCCCACCCCCAGGCTACTGGCCTTTGAAGGGGGGGTTTGGAGGGACAGCCCTGATGCTGTGCGAGCACCGCTCAGCAGTAGCTCAAACACTGGTGTGTCACTAACATTGTACTAGGCACAAATACAAAGCACAGCACTATGAGGGCTGCTATGGGGAAAGTTAACTCCATCCCAGCCACACCCAATACAACTTACTTTTGCATTTGTTTCTTTTTCCTTTTCTGGGAATTAGCGGTACTTTTGGTTAGTATAGCACTATCCATCTACAATGAACAGAACAGTTCTAACTAATAAAAATATTTATTAAAGCCAACAGCTATATATTTCCTCCATTTCTGTTTACGAATTGTTAGGACAACTAGCAAAAATTTTCCCCTTATATTTGATTCTTACTGTTCAATAAGGAATACTATACAGAAGTATTATAATGAGTAATTCGAAGCTAATTACTGGTATTAGATCAATATATAAATTCATTAAATACAATCTAAGTTTTCTTCTCAGATGCTTAACATTGAAAATTCTTACACTTCTAGAAAGAAAGAAAGAAAGAAGGCAGGGAAGCGGAACAACCAAAACAGATACCCTCTGCTGTGCTTTAAGGGTTCTGTCCTGCGTTGTACCTATCACTCAGGTTTTGAAAAGTACGTAATGGCCTACACTCTGCTGGAGATTACTCCAGGGATGGTAAAAGGCAAAGGTAAGACAAATGTGTACAGGGATTTGTACACCTAGCTATGCACTGACCTGACATAAGGTTCACAACAGTAGGCATAAGAACGGAAAAATGACAAAGTTATTTAATTTACTTTTTTATATATATATCTATATACAAAGAAGAAAAAGAAATTAGGCCAGGCAAATAACTCCTTCACCTTTCCACTAGTCCTGATGCTGGGTTTGGAATACTCAGTTTCTATATACTTAGTTTTTAAATTACTCTCATTATGAACAATGGTACACTAACGCTATTCAGAAAACAAGTATTTATCCCTTGACATGGAATGCTGAATTCTCTTTGAATTCCTTCACAAATAAAAATCTAATTAATACATGAACCTATTATGCAAAATTGAAGCTGGATGGTAGGATTCCTCACGGGGGATCTACTGCTCTGCAATGTGATTCCTCTCTCTTCCACTGTACCTGATACCTGCACAGGTCTATCTGGCAGCATAGCCTCTGGATAGTAAGAATGTGGAGATATAGTCCCATTAATCAGAGCACAGGAAATGTTGCTCCTGACTTCCTATTCCTCACCTCAATACAAGTCTCAATAGCATCATTTGACCATAGTTGGTGGCTTACTTCACTGCACTGCGGACTTCCAAAGCCAATAAATAATGAAGCACATGGAGGATGACAGTCGGCACTGATGTGCAGTAGCGGAAGACATTCACTGTCTGGTTAGTTTAATAAGATACTTCTGAAACAGACTCTTAAGAGCGTACCTGTACTGAAATGGCAGACTGAAGGATCAGATACAGTCCAGAAGGCTTATCTGCCTTCAAGACTGATTGTATTTTGAGTATGAGCAGCTACAGCAAAGGGAACCTACCCTTTGTCAGGTGTGCCTCTGCTGTTCTGGAGTCAAAAGCATCACCTGTCATCATCTAAGACAAACACTTTCAAAGATCATTGTAAGATATTCTTAGCTTCCAACCATTTATTTGGATTTATCTCTGATAAGCCAAGTGCCCTCGTGTAGTCAAATAGGTAAATTTTTCCTCTCAGATGGATTGTCTTCAAATACAGAGGTCTTCCAATACTAGTTTATCGTGTGAATTATCATTACATAACATATACTAATGGAAAAGTTGCATCCCATTGTAACAGACAGCTGTTGCGATTGCTGATTAATAAAAAGTGTAAGTAGCCTTCCAGAAGGACACAGAAATGGTGTATGAAATCTCAAAAGAACCTGCAAACTTTTTCTAATACCTTCCACCATGAATAAGAAATTCAACACAATTCAAATGCCAGTTCAAAGTTCTCTGGCACATTTTTAAACCTCTTTTTTCCAGCAAGTGACTTAAGCATATACTTAAGTACTTTTGAAATAAGAAGTAACCAAAACAGTATTTTCATTATGAGTAGCCGATTAAAAATCACAGCTTTCCCATCTAGGGACCAAATACATCATGGCTTCTGTTTTGTTTCTCTGTGAAGAACATTTTTCTGTAACCTGCTTTTTTACATTCTACTTAAGTTCCTTCAGGGAAAGACTCTCTGCATGCTGATTGAGGTACTGTATAATGCTAAGTAAACAGCTGTACAGAAGAGTACATGTTTCTGAACTTCACAGTCTAATTTGTAGACCCACCATCTATCCAGATCTGTGTAACTGCAGGACAACTTACAAAACCCTTATGATCCACCACCATACTCCATTGTTAACAGGCAAGAAAACATCAACATAAATTCTCCTATTAGGTAAACCAAAACATACTGTTCTGAAGCTAAACTATAGTTTATCATTGGCTAAACAGCTAAGATCATCACTAAGATTAATTGCTTAATCCATATTTTTAACAGAACATCAATAAAAGACCACTGCTATAATCAAAACACATTTCTGCCTGGATCAACTCTGAGCACCTCTGTGAGACACCATGTGAAGATTAATTCTTGCAATTTGTACCTAGACAAGTAGACTTCAGATTCTAGCAGGACTATTCAGACAAGAAAAGATGTCTTGCATGTGTGGAAGTTGCAGAAATAAGGTGTGATTTCAGAAGCTACAATAATTCAGAAGAACTGAATAAAAGATACAATAACTCAGGTGAACTGGCATTTCAATCATCAAGTTTAAAAGGAAAAATCATTATATGATGTTAACAGCATAGCTGTTTCCTCTTGCCTAACATTTGCTGCATTAAGATTCTAGCTGAACTCCAACAATTACCACAGCCTTACTCACCTCTGCTGGATGCTGAATTATATACAAGCATGTGGAGACCCTTAGCGGATGTATTGGCAGGAATGGACATAAACACACCTTCTGAGGACGGCTACATGACAGAAGGGAGTGAGAGAACAACAAAAGTAATCAGCAATTTATGAAAGATGGCACAAATACATACTGCATCCCCAGAGGCACACTAAGAATTTCCCCTTACGACACAGTGTATTAAGCCTGATGTAATTTTCTGTCTGAAACTCCTTCTATTTCTAAAAATAAAGACGCAAGTTTTTAATTGAAATAGAGTTTTGAGAACAGTGTTCAGACCCTTCCTGTGGCCTGGTTAGGATTAAAGCACTCTAAAAATCCTTTCATCATCTTCAAGAAGAGCAACTTACTAGTATCCATACCCGAATCAGAGAAGCCTGTTGCTGCCTTTCATACCAAGTTAGTGTTTCAACAATTTTATAAAATATTGTAATAGAATATATAATATTTATAACCAATATTCTATTTATAATAGATTAATTACAAAAGAAAATTTTAGAAATATACACACAGGAAACCCCAGACATGCTATATTTATGACTGGGTTCATTTTTTACAGTTCCATCTATGCTGAAATATGTAGTAGACACGTAGTACGAAAACAAAAAATCCTTATCAGGAACTTCCAATTTAAGTCTGAAAAAAGAAAATAAAAATTATTTAAAATTCTTTGGTGTACTGCATGTAGCTGTTAAAATGACTAGCAGAAGAACTGTATCCAAGGAAATGAACTGAAACATTGCTTGGCATGAAACTAATATGCTGAATGATCAAGAATAAACAGAAGCAAAAAATTAAGCTCAAAGTTATACACAGAGTAATTGAAGTTGTTACACCAACACACACATGCAGAAGTCACTATAGCTACTCACAGACGTTATTCAATAACTCAGAAAAATGAAGGATTTCCTTAACAGTGAGGCTATTACCAGTATTCACCACTTAAAATCATACCGTCCCTGCAAAGCCCTCTGCGCTTAAAAAATATAAAGTCAGGATTTTCAGCAGAACACCAGGGACTCGGAGTGCAACTTCACCTGCATCCTCCTTGTAACCTTTATTGGTAACAGTTTATATGTTGGTCACACACGAGAGACAATAAGCAATCACTGCAGTAGACACAAATTACAGAAGTGAATTCTGAAGACAAATCCAAATCAAGTTTGCGGTGAGCCCGACTGACACTGCACTTGCTTGTCCACAAGAGCACACGCACCCAGCCAAGTGTACTAAGTAATGTTACAGTAATCCAAGCCAGTATAACTGTTCCGTAGTCAAACATTAGTACTTACCAGTAAATGGTGGCATTGTAAAAAGGCAGTAACAATAGATAAGCTCCTCTTTAACAGTTGACAGGTTTTGTTAATTTAAACCCCCTACTTCTGAACTACTGAGACACAGAGACTATTCCCTTCTCCATGGGATATACAGTTAAAGGTTACCCAACAACAGTCTAAATCCAAAGCAGTCGGGGGAGTGTTGATGCAAGGGAAGGAATTGGTACTGATCAAAATAAGCACTGGAAAAAGTATTTTAAAATATTTAGACTAAAAGGCCAAGAAATCAGCCTAATGACAAAATGGAAATTATTCTCATACACTCTTCTGGTATACTGCTCCAGTGGCCTGCTGTCTATCTTTCCTTCGCACTTCTAGCCCTGGCATTTTCCTGCATGAATTTGGCATATTCTGTTGTATTAATGGTTAGGCTTTGAGCCTAAAATTAAGCACTCATTAATTCCACTACTCAGTGGGCTATTCCAGGGACCTTCACTGTGAATGAACTGAAACCAACCTCACTCCCAGGTCTGGTGGGTCTAATTTCAGAAGTTCTCCAGCGATGTAGCACTGCTTTTTTTCCAGTATTTTCTCACATGTAACCAATTTAAACAGAAATTTCTGAAAACAGTTTTGTTAACAACCTGGAAGCAGCAAATACCCCCTGCGGCTGTTTGTTGCCTGTGCCCTGACTGTTAAATAGAAACCCATCCTCTTTTTGATCATCAGATTTAGCGGAAACTCAATTTTGTACTAAGTGTAATTCCTTAGTTTCTCCCCATTATTAAATGGCTGGTTTCACTAACAAGAGAAGTCGTTAAAGTTCTCCCCATTATGGCATTTTCTACTGAGGAGAGATTAAGGCACGAAAATCTACTACACAAAGCTGTTCCAAAACAGTTAGCTGGTGACTTCAATCCAAAGAGCTGCATTGTTCACTAGCTTTTATAAGCAGATGGAAATAGTTTCTGGTGATTTCTGACCTCAGGGTGTTTAACTATAACAAAGTTGGCTAGATAAAACTTACTTATTTTCAAGTCTCCCTTTTGCATATGCTTTCTGTATTTTCCACACTGGCTTGGATTTTTCACAGGTAGTTTTTTAAGCCTTGTTAACCTCATCAAAAAAAAAAAAAACAAACCCCAAACCAAAAAAGGAAATTATCCAGAAAGCAAGCATTCTCAAATAGTTACAGAATAAACTCTACCTATAATTTGATTTGTAGGGGGCAGAGCACAAACCATGACAAGTAAAATACTTTCCAATATAATTTAATTACTTACATACGTATATACATTACTTAACTTTAAGTACCCAATTAGGTACCTAATTTTATTGAAAACGTACTTTTACAACCCCATCCTGGGGGCACAAGACTTATTTCTGTACTTTCACTTTGGTACCTAACGGTTATTGTGCCAAGACAAAAAAAACGTTATTCCTATGTGAAACTGACACTACCAGCCTACATCAGTCGAATAGGAAGCACTGCAGAACAATAGAAGTTCTGTTCCATCATGACAAAAGCCGCCTTTGCTCTGAGAAAGGCCACCTAGGCAGAAAAGTCTTTTTGTCTTTTTCTTTTGTTTAAAGATTCTGCTACAGTCTTGCCCTACATACACAGCTAATATTACAGAAGGGTAGGGGCAGCACCAGGGAACTTATTTAATGATGAACATCAGTTTTCTCCCATTTCTCTAAATGAAAGTAGCAATCTGCTCCAGGTAGGAACAGTCGTATTCAGAATATTAAGGAAAAGGTTTGTGGGTGGGGATTAGGATTTGAAGGAGGATAATTTTTACAATATTATTCACCTGTATGCAATTTCTCTACAGCTCATAGCAATCCAGTGGGTTCTTACCTGGTTTTAAATACAGCATTTCTAGTTTAAAAACTTGTGACAAAGTAACTTGCCACACTGGTGGGACCACGGAAAAGAAAAAAAAAAAAAAAAAAATCATTCTGTGTCTTGCAAAAGTGCTCCATATGCAAAAGACAGCCATGCTCATGCACAGACTCCTCATAGCTTTCCTTCTGTTATTCACATCTAAATTAATGATGTTCAAATTCAGAAAAACATTTAGTCTATTTTTCCAGCAGAACTGAATCTGGACAGTGGACTGTGCTGTACTGTGGTGTCAGGTTTAGCGTGATTACTAGTTTCTGGGCAGAGATACTCTAAAAGTGAATCTGCAGCAGCCTGGAAAATAGTGAGCTAACTCTGAAACTCTTTCCAAGTCTTTGTATGATTTTCCTACAAATATAAATATCCTCACTTGCTTCAGGACTAACTTTTACCTCTCAGAACACGTCCAAAGGGCTTCTGAAAACAGGCACCATTCTGGGAATGCAAATGAGCGTACTCTCACACCCATATTGAGAAAATGAAAGACGTAATCCAGATTAAGCAAAGAATAACAATGTTACAATTTTATCCTCAGCATTTGTAGACGTTTCTATATAAAGAGGTTAAGTGTGCCAAACACATGTTCTAGAAACAATGCTTGCAATATTAAAATAAAGAGGAAGCTGATGTTTTTAAACTACTATCCCTGGCAACGTTTTCATCTTCCAACACATATCGCCAAGGTCAGGCTCCACACTCTGTATTTTCAAAGAAACATGCCTGCCCAAACAGAAACAGCTGCTTCAAGTAAATTAGATTTCTCTACTGTTTAGGACAAAAAACCAAGGGTTTCAAGATCAAAACCCACCTGAGAAGTCTGGAGAAAAGCCACAAAGTTACCCTACATTTGTTCTATACTAATATTTTAATACATGTTTTATACTAACACAAGTTCATTATACACATGCATTAAAACAACATTCAGGAGTTTTACAAAGCTGTGTTGGAAGTTTAAAAGCACAAGTCCACACATTTTATAAAATTTGAGAATAAATTTTTGCTAGTTTTATGTTAGAGGACAAACACAAATTAAAAAATGGTTTTAAGATTACATTTTGCATCCTCCACCTTAACCTCTACAGCTATAGAATGACCTTAAAAGAATGAGTGGATTAAGTTAAACATAAATAAACACAAAATCATGCATTTAGAAAGAAACAATCTGTCCTGGTTTCGGCTGGGACGGAGTTAAATTTCTTCCTAGTGCTGTGT